TATCCAAAAAGTATTTCTCATTAAATATCTCTTTAAATCGACCCTACATGAGTCATGGCACATTGAGGAGACAGATTCCTACCAATTTTGAGCATTTTTGACCAATATAAATGTCGCACATGCTACACGATTTACATCACTCATAGTTAAGTGCTTAAAAGTAACCTCCATGGAATCAATCCATTCTTCTATAACGGTGAGATTTGGACCACCCTTAAACTCCTTTGGAATAAATCTTTGGAAGTGCTTCGCCACTTTGGCTAGTTATGGCGGTCGTGCTTCAACCGACCTACGCCGTTGCATTTCCATTATACTTTGCATTTGTTTCTCATACCTTTCTTATTGTTATTCTATCATTCCTTGCTACCTTGTAAGCAGCTCCATTAATTCCATCTCTCGATACAAAATCGGTTGGTTCGATCCTCCATCATTACTAACATTATTACTACTAACCCTCTTTAGCGACATTCTTTTTCTCTTTTAATTCACGTTTATAAATAATGCAAATTATGTGATCCAATTAATTCATTAAATGTTCACGTTAATCATATCATTCATAATTAACATTCTCATTGCTTTCACTTGTAACATTTGCTTGCATTGCAACAAGTCATTCATACACACGACATTCAAACATAATAATTTATTATAATAAATTATCATGTCTTTCATATTCACCGAGCAATCATAATGTTTCAATCACCAAACATACTTATTTGTTACTAAAATTCATTTCTAGTGTATCTAACCCACGCCTTCCTTTCATTCCTAAGTAAACCATGCTCGATACCACGTCTATAACACCCTCGACCTACTTAAATAGGTTGAGAATACTATCACCGTGTCCGATAGTTAGTGGAAGATACAAGGCACTCGTGTCCTTCCTATGGTGTTATTAGGTATGGTTTTAACTATGGAAGCATATTAAATAGCGAATAGGTCTTGCTATGCTTGCAAAATTTAGCCTAAAATACACTATTAAATTTTTGCATTTGTTCATTTCATTTTAATCGTTTAGACTAAAATAACTAGATTTGAGTCTCTCGATTTTGGCAAATTATTTTTCTATTAGTCAAATTAAATTTAACTAATTGATACTCGTTATTTAATAGTCTACCTTTTTTCTTTTATTAATTATCATTTTTTAATTATATAAATTAACTATATCATTATTAAGAAACGACAATATATAGATATTAAACTACAAAAACTACAACTACACACTATTATGTTATTACATATTTAACATGTCCAAAATCAATTGATGTAAAACCTATTCATCTTTTACATGACGATCAGTTAAGTACCACACTGCTTCGCTAAAACATGGTTTATTTATTTACAAGTCTATTTCCCCTTTTTACTAATTAATCATTTATCTATTTATTACCTTGACTATCATATAAAATAAAGTAGCCATACCCAATATTTCAACCGAATATCGAGAACCAAGTAACATAACGATATGAAGTAGGTCCAGCTTGCAGTCGCAGGTAAGATACACTCGTTAGATAACGGGGGAGTTCCTTCGGTAACAAGCTTCATGAAAAACATAACCATCACTCGATACTCTTCACCTTGATATCACAAAAGCTCGGGTGAGCGAGTTACTTAGTAAGGTAACCATGTATACCATGTACATATACAAGTGAAATGCACTTTTGTAAGTAAATGCACTTTGAAAGCCTTGCCATATTCCTTTCTAAAATCATTTTCCTTTCCATGAAATTCATGTCATGTTCATTCTGAAAATTCTTTTATCTTTGGACGCGCCTTATGAAGAGTCTAAATATACATGTATGTACATGTTTCGCCCTCAATTCCCTTATCACTTCTCCTATAGGACTATTACTAATTCCTTCATAGTTGAGGCCATTACAAATTCCCTCGACGAGAAATGCCATTTCCTATCAACCGGAGTCATTACCAATCCCTCAAGCAAAGAAATTCTTCAACCAAGGCCATTATAAACTCCCCGGACGAAGAAAATGTTAGGAACCATGAAAACCTTTCCTTTGCATTTGAAAAATCGAAAGAAAAATCTTTTCATGATTTTATGATTTTGAACTTTTACTTGACTCTTGTATGCATATGCATTTTAATGTCAATACATAACCTCATAAATCAATGTAATGTATGCCATGACCGAGTATGCATTTATGTAATATGCATACCTTAATGAAATGAAATGCATATAAACATTCATTACCTTTCCATGTATCATATTCTGATCAAGGTACACAATTCCATCACGACAAACATTTAACATAGGTACCATGTAACATCACATTCACCATTCAATCAACAAAGGCATTGCACCAATTTATTCATCCATGTCATAATTTCCATAAGCATAAGCAATCATGCCACAAACACTTAATTGCATAATTTGAATACATGCATATGCATATGCATTTTAATGTAAATGCATAAACTCGTGAATGAATATGCATTTTAATGTAAATGCATGACTTCATGAATCAACATAATACATTCCATGAATGAGTATGCATTTTAATGTAAATGCATAACCTTATGAATCAATGTAATACATGCCATAAATGAGTATGCATTTATGTAATATGCATACCTCAATGAAATGAAATGCACATAAACATTCATTACCTTTCCATGTATCACATTCCGATCAAGGTACACAATTCCATCACAACAAACATTTACATGAATGACATGTATATGCATTTTAATGTAAATGCATAACCTCATGAATCAATATAATGCATGCCATGGATAAGCATGCATTTGTGTAATATGCATACCTCAATGAAATGAAATGCACATAAACATTCATTACTTTTTCATGCATCACATTTCGATCAAGGTACACAACTCCATCACGATAAACATTTAACGCGGTACCATGTAACATCACATTCACCATTCAATCGATAAAGGCATTATACCAATTCATTCATCCATGTCATAATTTTCATAAGCATAAGCAATCATGCCATAAACACTTAATTGGACACTTTGAGTATATGCATTGTAATTAATCCATCATGAAATCGGTAATTGCACCATGTAAACCATTTAACCTCCATAATACACAAATCAACATTTTAATCCTAATTTTCCTACCTTAGGCCGAATGTGCACCTAGTTCGAGCTAGGTGGATTATTCAATTTCAATGCTAATTTTCATGCTAAATCATCTTGATATACTTCAATAACGTGTAATAAATCAATTAAACATTAATAGGCCAAATGTACTAAAAACTCTAATTTTCACTATTTAGGCCGAATGTATGCCTAAGTGAAACTAAGTGTATTTTTCAATTTTTAAGGTCAATTTTCTTGCCAAATAATTTAATTGTAACATACATAAATTAAACATCTATAAAACAAAAGCATAATAAACCCTAAATTCTACTATTTAGGTCGAAAGTTTCTCTAAGAATAGGTTAGGTAGTTTTGCACTTTTTCTTCTTATTTTCATACTCAATTACGTATTCCAATTTCAATTTCATCAATTATAACTTTTAATTCATTTTTTCCAATTTTATATAATCAAGAATCCTAGCCTTAATTTATGAAATTAATTCAATCAAACTTAAATCAAAGGTGAAAAACCAACAATTCACACCAAATAACATATTCTTATGGTGTAGGTGAGATTAACTTACCTTAATTGCTCTAAATTAATCCTTTTTAGGTTGAGTTTTCTTTCCCTCTTTTCTTCCTCCAAATTTTGGGCAAAAGCTAAATTTTTCCTCCTCGGTATTCTTGATCTTCCACTTATAATTCCAAGCTTAATTAGGTGATTTAATGGTGTTTTTAGTGTTTCAATGGAATTGGCTTATGATTTCCTATGAATTTGTTGCAAAAGTTTGCCTTAATTTTTCAATTTTTTCAACCATTTGTCTTCCTCCTTTATATAGAATTTATAGGTGAGTCAGGGTGGACTCTTGCTTGTCTTGACTTGATCTCCACCCTTAATTCATCTTTTAATCTTATTCTTTCATTTGGTTAAATCTTCGCCATTCATCTTTCTTATAATCCTAACCTTTGATCACTTCAATCCTAGCCTTCCATTAAGTAAGTCAAATGATTGCATTCATTTATTAAGGGTGAGAGGTGGTGGGTTTAGGTAGAAATATTTGACCAAATTGTTTTATTTTAGTCCCTTGATTTATCATACTTTTTCAATTTAATCCTTACTTTTAGTACCTCAAATTTTAATTAACTACTTTTGGTCCTTCCATGTGGCTTTTTTAATGTCTTTATGCCTTCTTGATATTATTTCATAACTTATTTATGAGCTAAAGCTTTTAATGTTATGGAATTAGGTCTCTAATCTTATGTAATTAAATCCGTATGTACATAATTGATTCCATGCACCTTAAAAAAAAAAAAATCTCTTTTCACAATAAATTTATGCATTCTCTATATAATTTATTCATCAATCACATAATTTTTAATGTACCTATTTAGGCAAGTCAAAATAATTATTTTGCATAAAAGTGCACTATTCACATACGTAAAAGTCAATCAAATATTCAACAAGCACGGAAAAATTCACTTAAGTGCATCAAATATTCTAGTACCCCTCTAGCAATTTTTCTATATCTATAAGGTATTTTTTTTATACATGTTTAATATATATTAATTTATTTATCTCGTAGACTCGGGATATTACAAGTTTGGTGCGTGTTGACAGTGGTATGGGTTTGAAAGAGTAAAACACACTTGTTGACGAGTGAAGTTTTGATGCGGGTTAGCCGACGATGTGGGTTTAACAGAGTAAAACACACTTGTTGACATTGGAGGTTTGGTGTAGGTCGATTAGTGGCATGGGTTCGAGGGAGATCGGCAAGGTCGTTAACGATGGTAGGAAGATCATCAAGGCAACCGGCATTTGGAGAGATCGACAATTTGGCTAGTTTTTATTGATAGTGGGAGAACGAAAGAAACAGTGACTAACGTGATGGAGACCGATATTGGGTTTCGAAATAGATTTGAGAGAAGCAACGACTAGCATGATAGAGGTTGGTCGTGAGCTTCTTCTAGGTTTGAGTGAGAGGCTTGAGGTGAGTTTCGACTTCGTAAGTATTTCGATGGTTGTAAACGATGACGGTTCGCTTGGATAAATTTTTTTGGCAAGAAAGGACTCGTCGCCTAGGTTTTTTTTTTTAAGGTAACAATAGAATTTTTTAGGAAGAATTTTTTTGGTGAATTAATGCAAGTTAATTATGAAATTAGATCTTAATTCATAATTAGTTAAGGTGTGTTAGGTTTCTTAAAAAAAATTAAAATTGTCCCTTGCTTTTAGTTTGACAAGTGTGTTTTACGAGTTTTACGTGCATATCTTCTATTGTCTCTAATGAAAAAAATTGGGTGGATTTAATTTCAATAATTGTAAAGTTCATGTATCTCCAAAGCTAATAAAAAAGTTTCGAATTCAATTTCAAATGACTTGATCGGGGATAGTTAGGTTCTTTTAGCCATAAAAAATATGAAATCTATCTTTATTTAAGCAATTTTTAACTTTTTTTAAGTTAAGAACGAGAAAAAAATTAACAATAAAATGTTTAAACAATGACATTGAAGCTTTCCATTTAATGATCAACTAAGTTGATTGTTACAAATAACATAAACAATGAGATTTGGATAACATTTGCTCAAAAATTAATATTTTATGATTCAAATTACATCAATTGATAATAAAGGTCTAAAATTGTCAAATTGCAATAAAACAGAGGTAATTTTTGCCATTAAATCCATCTTTATCTCTTATAAGATGTGTATGTAGATAGATTATAGGTTAGATTGAAGTCCTTCTAGAAAGAAAATTTGTGTTTGATCAAGTGTTAAGCATAATTAGGCTATTTAGATAATTTTTGATAAGGAATAATAAGATATGGATACGATATCCCACTCACACATATTTATTTATTTTCTATCTTTTTTGTTTATTTTTTTCAATATCAATTTTTATATGATTTCATTTTTTTTATTCTCAAATTTTGAATTACTCTTTTTTTTTAAACTCATTTTTTATTACAGTCTCTATTTTTTTAAGATCAAAACTTATAAAAAGTATTAAAAATTATAAAAACACATAAAAATGCTAACATTTCGAAGACTGAAAAAATCACATAAAAATATAAATTTGGATTTTTTTTAAATTTTGAAGAATATGAAAATCAAGAGGTTAAAAATGAGTTATAACATTTATAGTTATTTTTGAAAAAACTCTTGGACATAGGTGTGGTGAGTTTTTTCTATGTAAAAAATGTTGTGATGTGAATGTAATATTTTCAACGAGAGAGTGTGAGATAGCACACACTCATTTTTATATTTTGAAAAAAAAAAAGGTTGAGAGCAATTATGAATTTAAATCAAACATATATGGAGAATGTAAAATATATTATAACTAAAAAGTTTAATTTATTTTTTTCCCTTTTATTCTTAATGATATGTATTTGTTTTTTAATTTGTATTTAGTTGATAAATAGTTGAGTTGGATGGTTTATGAGTCTGGAATGATAATATATTAGTTTAAATTGTGATGGATTTGAATTAAGCATTTTTCTCGTTTGATATTATTTTTCATGAAAAATTTTGAAAAGCAACATAGTTTAAAAAAAAAATATAACATGATACTCCATATTAACATAGTAAAAAAAACATTATATTGTTTAACTAAAGATAAAAAATGTTTTTTATTTAACAACAATCACATTTTAAACAAGACAAACGAGAGATTTAGCAAGGATAATTTCCTCTATTGTAAGAAAAAAATAAATAAGTGAATTTGTTTTTATATAAAAATTTAAATTAAAATTTTTTTATTATATTTATTATGTTTCTCAATATTATTTTATTTTTTAGTATATTATTTGGATCAATTTTTTCAACTATGAAAATTACAGATTTATTTACCAAAACATTTTTTTTTCCATTTAAGCACTGCTAAATAATATTAAAATAATCTCAGTATTTTTTCATTTATTTATCCCCTTGCTTACTTGAGTTCCTAACCTCCGATTCGTGAATTTCGTCTCCCCTCTCTCTCGCGCTCCCTCCCTCCCTCTGTCTCTCTCCCTTGACATGGATTTGATCATTAAATAAAAGGAAAAAACACACCTTCACTTTGCTCTGTCTCTCTCTAAACCAGCAAATCCCACCCTCCCTCTCTCTAGGGTTTCGAACCCTCCAAAAAAAAAAAGAAAATTTCAAGCAAAAACGTACGCTTACAACTCCCGCTCCATAATTCTAGGGTTTTGATCGGTGGAGACTTAAAATCTGTCTGCCACACCTACTTCACCTGCACTCTGTTTATTCCTTTGGACCGTGATTTTTCTTCGATTTCTTGCTAACGGTGAGGTTTTGAACTCTTCTTCACTTCTCGTTTTCAACGATTCCTGTAATTCACTATTTAGGGTTCAGTTAGTTGATTTTAGAAAAAAACGAAATTTTAGTTACTCAAACGGAGTTAGGTGTCTTATTTTTTTAGGTATTAGGTCAAGCTCAAACCTTGATAGTTGGTTTAATTTATAATGTTAATAAGTTTGTTTGATTGGTGATTTAATATGTTAATCTGGTTTTGCAGCAGCAGGTGCTGTTGTTATATGAAGGGGATTGAGATTTTTCATGTTGGTAAATGTTGAATGGTTGTTACCATGGATTTAAATGTTTCGCCAGTGCCTGAAGACGAGGAAGATAACTTTGAAGGGCACATAGAAGAATACAGTGCTCCAGAAGAACGGTTCGAGTCTGCTGTTGAAACTGCCCGCCGGGTATTTCTAAATTCTATTCTTGCGTTTTGTTCTCAGTATTTTGCGTTGGAACAGTTTTTTATTTCCAAATTATGTCACGAGTCTGGTGAATGATAAAATCAGGAAAATCTTTACTTAAGTGTTATGATAGTGGAAGAATGAAATGTATTGTTCTGTTGTTTGTCTTGACATTTTTACATGAGGTCTCTTTTGTGATTCCTGAGGAGTTTGCCTGTGTGTAAAGAATCATTCAGTTATTTGAACTGTCACTTAAGCCGTGTGGCTATAATTATTAGTCAATAGGAATTGAAGTAGCTGTTGCTGCATGGAGCTTGGGCATTGGGCTCCAATTTATTATACTATACCAATTGGATTAAGTATTTGATTGAATCTGATGATCTCTTTTAAGATTTTATGAAATTAGAAATCATTTTTTTGTTGTTTTCTCTGGTGAGTTGTACTTTAATACTGGAAATGGGTTTGTGCTGTCGGATGTGTTACTTTTCTTCTTCAGTGTCAGAAGTCTTAATAGTTGCTGATACTTGAGGATGAAGATCTTTTTAAGCAATCAATTTGTCATATTTTTTTGGGGTTAATATACAAAGGCAATTATGCAAGCATCTCCTGATAAAGGGTTGGAAATTTAGCTTCGTTATGGATCTCCTGTGTGTTTAAAATGTGACTATGGTTCTTAAGCATGGCAGGCGGAGAGAAGAATGTAAAGCCATTAAAGTTGTTAATTAAAAGCTTCTTTCTAATCATTAAGTACTTGGGGAAAATAATAACTGTTCTGTAGTCATAGATTTCATACAGCGCGTTCCTTTCTTACTAAATTATATAAGCATGCTATTGACATGTTATCATTTTTATCTTTAATGCTTTGGAATGGAACACCTATAAGTTTTTGAATACTGTAGAAGTGGCACTCTCCATTTGATTGGGGTTAAATATTTTGCGTGCCAGCATATTTTGTGAACTTTGAATAGAATGAAGGAGAGAAATTGCTGTTTGTTCTATTGATGGATTTTAAGATGAATTTTCTGATTCTTTAATGCACATAGAAATTATGTGTGTAAGTTGACAGTCTGTTTTCCATCTCTTGCTCGTTCCCACATCTGGGCTTTCTTTTTTCCTTTTTTGATTTTTGATGATTAATATACTATGACACTGGTGCATTTGTTTGTGCTATGTATTCATGCATGGCTGTTGATCTTATGTGCATCTTGGTTAGGAGCGTGAAGAAAGACGCAAACGTTTGAGAAATGAACGCCCGGATGACAGACCTGTGCATGTGTCTCGGCAACCAGTGCATGATCAATCCTTTCCATCTAAACACTATAAATCTTATGATAAAAGCAAACTTCCTCCTGGTAAGTTTCTTGTCTAATTGTTCTAGGCAGGAACGGCTTTTGCGGTCCGCATTATATATGGTTTTAATAGTGTTTACAGATACCATTGTTCTATGGAATTGAGTTATCTATTAGAGGTGTATGATGCTGCCTTACCATATTCCTGAATACCAATCTATTAGAGGTGTATGATACTTTGTCAATAAAGCATTCTTTTAGCTGCAAATATTAGAGAGCTAGTTGTAATCTTATATTGTTGATAGTAGTGAACAGTTCTGTTGATGGGCATTCGGTCTGGTAGTGTTCCTCACTGCAAAGCTGGAGTAGGGGAGGATTGGATCTTGTTTTTGTTAGCTTAAGAACTCAGAGAAGGGGAAATAAGGAAAATAAGAGGATACTAGTTAATTGGTCTCTGAGTAGTGGTCTTCTGCCTTTCTCCTTTCAGTCCTTCACTGGATCTCTAAGCATTTGATTGATCTATGCTGGTGCAGTTTTTTTTTATGCTTTCCTTAGTTTAAGGACAGTGTGTTTTATCTCAGGCATCATTACTTCCATTCAATAATTTGCTATCTATAATTGCAGGCTGGTTGGACTGTCCTGCATTTGGCCAGGAGATTAATTGTATTGTTCCTTCTAAGGTTCCTCTTGGTGAAGCCTACAATGACTGTATTCCTCCCGGTAAAAGATACTCTTTTAAACAAGTCATTCACCAACAACGGGTTTTAGGAAGGAAAGTAAGTTCCTGGAACTTAAAAAGTCTCTTTTTTCTTCCTTCCTATGTTTCCTAGTAAACCTCTTGTATTATGAGGGAAAACTATTGTCTTGAGCACTCAATTAATTTCTCAATAACCAGGTTTTTTTTTGAATCAGCTGTATGATCTATCTATAGAGCCAAATTAGAGGAAATGTTCCGCAATTTGGCAGGGTTATGTTGCTGCACAACTAAGATTGCCAGTATTTGTGATTTGTGGTTTTTTGCATGTCTTTAGCAGTGTAGATTTACCATAAGGAGTAATGAAGAATAAATTCGTCTCTGTAGGATAAGAATAATATCTTGAATAATTCTAAGTTCTATCCACTTAATTTTCAGCTTGGTCTGGTGATTGATTTGACAAATACTACCCGCTACTATTCAACATTAGATTTGAAGAAAGAAGGTATCAAGCATGTCAAGGTGAGTTGGCAGTGACAATATTAATTTTTTTCAGTCTCTAGTTTTTACTGTTGAGTTGCTTACTTGAAAATAACTTCTTTTCTTTGATTGTCCAGATATGTTGCAAGGGGCGTGATGCTGTACCAGAGAATGCAGCTGTAAATACCTTTGTTTATGAGGTTTGCTTTTTATTTATTTATTTATTTTTTTACAATCTTCTCAGTTTTTCTATGTTTTTTCCTCCTTGGATCTTCTTGTAGCATAGATGTTTTTTCCCACATTCGGTGTGCTGCACAGACCACTTGATGCAGGACAGCTTAGGGGCTGTTATGGATCTGATCTTTGGAGCTTGTTTAGGGGTTTTTCGGTTGTATTGAAGTAGGTTTCTGCTAGAATATGAGAAAATATGTGGCTAGGTTTCTAGGAGTCACACCTAAGGGGGATTGAGTTGCACAATCAAAAGCAAATTGCTTTTATTTTATTCATAATTTGTCATTCATAATTTGAAAGACTACACATTGTATTTATAGAGTTATAGAAGTCCAAATCCTACATCTTATTTAGCATGAGAAAACCTATAACTATTCTTATTTTAGAATAGGAAAACCTAATAACTTTAGGACTAAGAAAATTATAAAAAAAATTAAAAGAACTAGGGGTGACACTGTTCATTTATTGTAGCAGTGTTTTTTTCTTTACGTCTGGCCTCTTTATTTTTTTTTTTCCTTTTTTCAAAGGGCTGGGCTGCTAGAACCTCACTGTAGCATTCCTCTTTTTTTTTTTTTTTTTTTTTTGGTTTTCAGTTTCTATATGTTCTCATATGGCAACTGTTCCCCATATATATATATATACACACACACACGTCCGGCCTCCTTTTTTTTATTTCTTTTTTTTAAAGGGCTGGGTTGCTGGAAATTCACTGTAGTTTTTTTTTTAAGTTTCTATATGTTCTCGGATGGCAATTATTCCTTTTCTACATAAATAATTTATTTTTATATTTTTTATCATGAAATTAGGTATGAAAATATAAAAAAGATTGTTATTTTTTTTGTTTAACCAGTAATAGAATATATATGATATTTTTTAAAATTAATATATTATATTTGTTAAAACTTTAGTTTGCATATACGTATCCGATTATATTATTTTTATTATTTAAAATTTATTTATTCAATTGTTTGTTTCTTATTAAAATTCTCATCGAATTAGTTTTTAAATTTTATATAATTTTATTTGTTAATAAATTTGATTTTTTTACATATGGCTTTTGAAACAAAATTTTAGAACATGATTGTTTTATTTTTTAAAATATATTATTATTATTTATACGATTGATTATTTTTATAATTTTTCAATGAAAATGGCATTGTTACGTACATAAATTTTGATGTGAGAGAGAGCGCTAAAAGTTTGTTTTAGATAATTTGATTTAATTTTTTTAAAAATAATAATCAGTTAAAAAAATAATTTGGCTTGTTTTTTTTAAAAATTAATAATTAGTTAAAAAATTCATAGATTTTATTTGGTTATATATATATAATTAAAATTTATCGGAACCAATTTTATAATAGTTTTTATTTAAATTTATTCATTTCGATATATTTCATGCAATTTAAGTGAGTTTTTTTAATATATATTTGTATTTATTTTATATACTTTGAGTCTTCTAAAAACAAAGATCAATTAAAAAAAATTCGACTAAATTTTTTTTAAAAATAATAATTAGTTAAAAAAGTCACATGTTTTATTTGGTTATATATATCATAATTTATCGAAACCAATTTTATGTAATAGTTTTTATTTAAATCTATTTACTTTGATATATTCCATGTGATTTAGGTGGATTTTTTAAAATATATTTTTAATTTATTTATATACTCTAGATATGCTAAATACGATATATAAATATAATTTTGTTAAAAATTAATTATATTTGCACATATAATATCAATTATTTATTATTTAATTTTTTCATGTTCTAAAATCTTTATTTTTAAATGAAATAATTTAATTAATGTTTTGAAAGAACCTCTTAATCATTCAAATACAAATTTTTATACAAATATTGTAAATTATTTTGTTAATAAATATATATAAATAAAACAAGTTTGCTGAATATATAGATTTGATTTACATTAATCTTCGAAACAAAACATCCACTCGCATCGTACCATACGAATCATTAACCCCTGTGTATATAATGGTTGTCTTACCGCAGCATAGTGCGAGTATCTAACTAGTAAAACACTAAACAGAAATAAAGCCTAGACATAGATAGCAAACCTGAAAAATTACTAAAATATCCTTGCATTCTAAAATTTAAATAAAACACATAAATCTCAAGTTCTTTGTCGTCTGCAGCACCACTAGCTTAGTTTCGTGGTAGTTTGTAAGGTTTTATGTCTCTTCTATTGCTATTAGGCCATAACTCTATTGCACCTCAAGTTGTATTCAGCTCTGCCAGGATAGAGCATTATATAGGAACCAAGAAGCTCATATGCGAGCTTGAGCTTGCTTGTGAACGTGCCATGTCCACATGTGTCTTGCTTGACTACAGCTCATGTGTGTATGTTGGAAGCAACGGTTGATCACTATTCTTTTTTGTAACCAAGTCAACCGTCACCCTCTCCCTCCCTTCACTGCCAAACAGAAGCAGTGATACTCCAGCTAACTGGGGCATTTAGTGATCAATGTGAAGGCATTATATCCTTATCTGAGGAATCATTTATATCTAAACATGCTATGTTGAATGAGTGTAATATTCTACTCAATAGTCATGCATGTGCATAATTTATTCAGGTCATGCAATTCCTCTTGCGTCAGAAACATACAAAGAAGTATATTCTCGTTCATTGTACACATGGGCATAATCGCACAGGATATATGATAGTCCATTATCTAATGCGTTCACAGCCAATGTCTGTCACTCAGGTAAGTTTCCAATGTCTCCTTTCATGTGTACCTCAGTTGGTTTTATTCTACAAACTATTTGTTTTGAAGCTTCTTTTGCTAATTGTGCAGGCAATAAAAATATTTGCTGATGCACGTCCTCCAGGAATATACAAACCAGATTATATTGATGGCTTGTACTCATTTTATCATGAAAGAAAGCCAGAAATGGTAGTTTGCCCACCCATTCCAGAGTGGAAGAGGTCTTCTGAATTTGATCTCAATGGTGAGGCAGTGCCTGATGACGATGATGATGGAGGTTCAGCTACTATCGTGCATGTATGCAAATTCTTTGATGTAACATCTAGTTGTCATATTTTTTTTTTTGTGGTGGCATGATATAAAAAGGTGGTGTTGTGGAGAGCTGTTTTGCATATATGTTGCTGTTTCTACCTGAGAGAACTGATTTTGGAAATATTGGGTTTAGTGGAAATTATTAGGAGAACTATTATTATTTAAGTCGACTAAGAAAATGTGGTGACAGACATAGTGATAGATGTGTTGTTGGTAATGATTGCTCAATTGTACTCTAATAGTCAGTTTCAAACTTTCATTTGGAGCTGATAACAAGTCAGTGAAAAAAGGGCCTTAGTACTCCGAGCATCATGATGTGAAATTGACTCCAAAACACTGTCTTGTTGTCGAATATTTTTCTTTGCTTTGCTCGAGTTTTACTAGCATTTTAGAATTAAAAGACATGTCTTAGGTTTCAAGTTGTACAGGGATCTCTTTCTTCCCTTTAATAATATGTTTAAGGAAGGATACATATTTTGAAGGGCTTTGAGGCAATTGAACATTTTAAAATATGGTGCTTTCGTAGTTAATGATAATTAGAAGGTTCTAGTTTTATGGGGTTCTTATATGTCGATAACATAGAGGGTGTCTGATGATAGGCCAGTACATGTTACTGCCCATCCCTATAAAGTTTGATGGCATGCTTAAGTTAAGATATGGTATATGTCACTGGAGTATTCCCCATAATTTATCCATGTGGATTTAGGTGCTGATTTTTATATTCTTGTTCTATATTGCAAGGATTATCAAACAGTTTTAAAAGAGAGACTTCTTTTTCAGTTCAAAAGCTTTTTTAAAAAAGAATATTACTAAGTTATTCTGCTAAGGAACCTGTAAAGTGGGTGTTCATGCTCTGCACTAACTTTTATACTAGCAAGAAAACAATTGGAGGTTGCAGGCGTTAGAGACTGGTGCTGAGTTTAGATTGAAAGCTTTGTTGTTAATTATTTTAGTTTTTGTTGGTGGCATTCTTCCTTTATAAGTTGAATATAAATGTTGCCTGTGGTAAAATGTAGTCTAGATAATTTTTTAAATGAAATATATGGTGTTATATTGCTATAATAAAGTGATGGGGGATTCATGTCTTTTCCCTTTTCCTTTGCTTCATGGATTCTTAAGTAATCCCTATCATTTAGCTTAAATTTTGAATAGAAAACAGTAGTGTCCCATTTGCTTAGATTTGTGCATGCCATTTATAATTTCAGGAAAATCGTGAGATGGATGTTGTGATGACAAATGATGATGTTCTGGGGGATGAAATACCTAATGACCAGCTGGATGCACTGCGGCAGTTCTGCTACCAAGCACTTAAGCTGAATGTTCCTGTAATACTTCATTGCCTCTCTTCAAGCTTTGTTGTATGCTGCTCATTTATTTGCTATATCTTTATATATCTCAGATTTGGTGTTGCACCCATTTCGTTTTGCTCCGCCAGTTACTAGTATGTGCTTGTACACATGCACTTATGTACTGTCTTGATCATGTTGGTCCGGCATTACTTTAGTTTTCTCCTTGTAATATCTTTGTCACACGTCCTGCACCTCCTAGGTTTTATGTACAAATACCATTAGTTGTTTCTTATGTTCACATAAAAAAGGTTTGAAATTTGATTGTGGAATGTGTTGGGATCACGGGAGGAAAAATAGATTGTTTATAGCTTCTTAATTGTTAAAAATCTTGTACTCAAAATGGCTACATTCAGACTTCAGTTTGTACCAACATTTTTTTTTTAAATTTCAGGTAAGAGGAAATCCACATTTCCCAGGATCACACCCTGTTTCTCTCAGCAGGTCCAAACTGCATTTTCTTCTATTATTGTTATTTAGTGTTTTTTGTTATTCTTTGGTATATGTATTAGGTAGATCTGCTTCAGTTTGTTGAGATAGGATCTCTATAATTTAGAATAGAGTTGCCTCAAATTGCCAGCTCTTAAGCTATGATTTAGACATGCAAGGATATGAAAGAAAGCCTAATATCATGCTCTTTGGATGGAAAATAGCTATGGTTTAGTTTAAAAACTTGAAACCATCAAATATGACAATTTTCTGTGGTAGTTATAAAATCTTAATAGTAATAGAGAAGAGAAACTGGAATGTTGTAGAGCATTTGAAGTCCTGGCATTATGATTGACACTGAATAGATTGCCGTTAGTTGTATGTCCTACAGCAAGAATAATATTTTGGGGAAATAGATAATGAACTATCATCTCAGTTTGTATTATTCCTTTCATTATAACTTAGGTAAATTTCACATATAAAATATATTCTAGTTTGCTTCCACTTTGGAGTGGCTTGAATATGTATCTATCCTGGTGGGAAAATGTCCAAAGATACCGATTCGTATAGGCAGCAATGTCTGATGTCTGACATTTTCTTTTAAGGGGTTGGGCAGTGGGAACTGCAAAAGTGGACCCCGTAGACATTTCCATGTGCTCAGCTCAAAATGGGTTGTTTATATGTTGTGGTTGTGACAAGGAAATTTATTGTTTTTTTTTATTTTTTTTAAATTTACCATGAAAGCAGTGAAGCTTGAATTTTACATTAAACAGATATTGATTCTTCATTTTATTAAACCAAAGAGCTTGTAGCCCAGTGGTAGTGGTTTCTTGCAAGAAGAGGTCACGAGTTCAAATCCTAATATAGACTATTTCTGCTAGGAGCCCTGGGTGTGTGAGAAAAAAAAAAATTCATTTTATTGATCTTTTTTGCCCATTTCAAATTAAGAATTAATGGGCATGATATTTTGCTTATGGGTTATTATAATTTATTCCAGTTTGGTTACAGTGACCATGGACCTTATGGGCCTAGTTTGTATTCAATTTTCTTCTTGGTGTCAGCTTCATAAAATGGAATTTCAATTTTGTGGCATGCAGGGACAACTTACAGCTGTTAAGGCAACGTTATTATTATGCAACATGGAAGGCTGATGGAACTAGATACATGATGTTGATTACGGTGGATGGGTGTTTTTTGATAGATAGGAATTTTAATTTTCGAAGGGTACAGATGAGATTTCCTTGCAGATACACCAGTGAAGTATGTATCTTTTTATTTCTTCTTCTAGGATGGTTTCTTGCTTTTTGACTTCCATTAGTATAGTTCTTGACATCTTGTTCGGATGATCTTCAACATGACTCTTGTGTCATTTTATTTTCCATTTTTTATAAGGGTCCAGCTGATAAGACGCACCACTTTACATTACTTGATGGCGAGATGATTATTGATACTTTGCCGGACTCTCAGAAAGAGAGAAGATACCTTATCTATGATATGATGGCAATCAACCAAGTGTCTGTCATAGAGGTTAGATTTACTGTTAGATTTATGGATATTGACATTATTTTTACAGAACGAAGTCGTTTATTGTTTTGTTTTCAGTCCTGTAAAGCAATGCACCATCAGTCCTTTTGTGAAAGCTCCTTAATTGTTTACCTATTTTAAATAAATCAAGTATCGAGAGCAATATTTGGTCCTTTAATGGAGGCAATACTTATAAGCTTATACAATGCTGGGGTAAATTTGGAGGGTTTTTGGGGCACTTTTGAGATTCAGTTTTGTGTTTTTTTACCTAATCAAATCAATGCTTAATTGGATGATTTGATCTAGGTTTTTTTTTTTTTTTTTTTTTTTTTTTTTTGGGGGGGGGGGGGTGACCTTAGAATTTTATGTGCTACATGGCGCATGGTGTAATTTCACGTGGGCAGTGTGGGCTAATTTCTCTGCTGTGGATCTGTCTGTGGTGGTGTTACTCTGCTTGACATTGTGCAATCATGAAGTGCCATTCATCTGCTATTGGTTGAAACTTTTAACCATTTATTCCATTCTATGGCAACCTTTTGTCAGTATATTCTTGAGCATCATCCTCATCTTTGGTTCGAATTTTAGGATGCACTAACATTTCTAAATCCAATATGTTATAAAGATATAGATTTATGTACCTGAAATGGAATTTTAGGAGGGCTTCATGAGGCTTTTCTCCAAAGCTGGCTGATAGAAATAGTTCTCATCCTGTTACAGCTTTGTAATAAGCTTATTTTGTTTGGGATAGCTTACAAAATAAATGGAAAGGATTTTCTCATCCTATCTAGACAAATTGCGTTGGATCTCTTAAAGTGCTGATGCTAATCATTTGGTACCAGTGTAACAATAAGTTAGATCTGGTTGAGGATTCTTTCAGATTTCTTCAGTGATAGGAACCATGTTAAAGAACTGTGTGGGCACCAATATGAGCTGCCAATCAACTCAAAGAATAACTGGGAATGTGGAGAAAACTGTTTGTATGCTAGTCATCCCTTTGATAATTTTTTTAATTAATCAGGAGATGTTCTGCAATTATCTTGTTTCCCAGGAGTATATAAAGGAGGAGCAAATCATGCTCATGGCCTTTTTCTCTGTTTTTATTTGCTTGATCTTTTCTGAATCATTTTTTACAGATGTTCTGGGATATATTTTGAAGAGTATTTTGAGTAATTAGAATCATATGTTTAGATGAATATGTTGTGCTTGTTTCAGGTTCAGGAACACATACCCCATCAATCTAATTAAATGCTTTTCCCTTTATGTTCTTCATTCCATCTACTAATTATGAGCTTTGTTGATCCAACATTTCTGCAGCGGCCCTTTCATGAACGATGGAAGATGCTTGAAAAAGAAGTAATTGAGCCCCGAAATTACGAACGCCATAATATTTACCAGAGTCGAAATCCATATTATAGATATGACCAGGAACCGTTCAGGGTATGAGAAGAAAATGTATCAAGTTGCAATGTATATGATAAATTCCCCTCTAATTTTATTACCTAATGATGTTTTTTGAATTGTTTACCAGGTGAGAAGAAAGGATTTCTGGCTGCTTTCTACTGTTACCAAGGTCCTAAAGGAATTTATTCCAAGGCTTTCACATGATGCAGATGGTCTTATTTTTCAGGTGATTTGGATTGCTTTTGAATTTTAGTTGCACAACTCATCCAATTGGAGATTTTTGGTTCTAAAATGCTTGTAGAATTTTTATCCAATAGTGTTCTGCAGTCAATGATGTAATAAATATCATGTACACACCACCTGAAAATTCTGGATACATTGCACCTCTCGCATATCACACTGGAAAAGATTTGTCATGTGTTAGATGCTTTTTATAGTGTTATTATTCTTGTGTGAACAAGGGATTACTTAACGATCTTATGTTCCAGGGTTGGGATGATCCTTATGTTACTCGCACTCATGAAGGCCTTTTGAAATGGAAATATCCTGAAATGAACTCAGTTGACTTTCTATTTGAGGTGTGTGTGTCAACATCTCCGCAAACTTGGCTGTTATCTTTGATGTTTTGGTGCTGTTCCATCTTCATCCCATTGGCATATTGGCTTGAAATTCTCTATTGATTTTTTCATCCTGATATGAAATTACGTGTATCGACAGGTTGATGATGATGATCGTCAGATGCTTTATCTGCATGAACGAGGGAAAAAGAAACTGATGGAAGGCCACAGAGTTGCATTCAAAGGTTCATTTAATTTTTCATGCATCCTAAGTGCTGATGTCTTCAGTTTTATTCTGCTATTGAAAATCCTGAATTAGAACTTTATGTCAACCCTTGCATTTATACTGAAAACACTGGGATTTCAATGTATAATGGTATTCCAGCTGTTGCTAGTCATATACTGGGCAAATGTATTGGTAGGGAGCTGGCAATTTCGTTTGTTCCTGGATAACGGTAGTTTGTCGTTCAGATTGGTAATAATGCAATAATTTGTATGGGTGCGCATTGCTTTAAGTGAATTCTGTTTTCACATATTCTCCTATCTCTTCCTTTGGCCATGTTTTCAGCTTGCTATATGCTCTTTTCTTTTTCTTCATTATTCCATTTTGTGTTTTCATTTTTACTCCTAGACATTATAACTTGCAGATTCAGATCCCTCTTCATACTCTGGGAAGATAGTTGAGTGTTCTTGGAATTCAGATGAAAATGTATGGGTCTGTATGCGGGTCCGGACTGATAAATCAACTCCAAATGAGTTCAATACCTTCAAGAAGGTCTGTTTTATCACCTTTATATGCACCCATATGTATATATGAATTGATATGTGTGTATGTCTTGTGTATTTGTCATGCTTTAACCTATATGCTAGTGTCATATCAATTTGACACTATTCTTCTTTATCTTTTATGTTTTTGATGAATTCATCAATTGGACTAAATGAAGCTTCTTTCTGGTTCTTAACAGGTGATGCGAAGCATCAAGGACAATATAACAGAGGATGTGTTGTTGATTGAGATTGATGAGATCATTCGCCTGCCCATGTATGCTGATAGAATCAGGATTGAGAGTAAGGCTCAGCAGCATGCAAATGCAGCACGGCGTAGGGGATGAACAGAATGGTGGATAGGCAGTGTTTAAACTTGTTAGCAGAACTAGAAGAACCCAATACTGGACCTTGATACCTGCGTCCTCTAGGTCTTTGCTGGTTTTCATTGGTTGGAGTTGGGTATGTACTGGAGCTTATCATCTAGAGGGTTACTGTGATGTTATGTAATTAGCTATAGCTCTATTGGGAACCACCCAGTGGGTGCTGTGCTGGTGAGTTGTATGATCCAGTTAGTGCACCAGAATAGTTTTCTGCGTCAGACCCAAATCATGTCTTTATCATAGTTGCCCAGATCAGGAGAATTAGGAATAGGATCACCTTGTATATTCTTCTTCTTATTATTTTTTTATTTAGTGATTTATAAGTTTTAAAAGGTAGTCATTTTTTGGTAGTAGAACCAAGTTCCCAAACATGGTTTTAAGTTTTAACCTTTTTCTCTTGATGTGAATGTGTTTTGGAATTTGGCGATCGGTCCCCATCTACTCCTACTCGGATCTCTTGTTCTGGCACTTGGTACTGTTTTCCTGTTTCTTTTTGGTTCTATCCGAGTCTGATTGGTTGGCCATTGTTATTCCTTTGAGTTTTTGGTGTCGCAGCTGATATTGCTGTGCTAAAACAAGGTATGGCAAGCTGCTACCCTTGACACTACCATATTCGGGTCGTGAGAAAGAGGAGTCTGTCTTTCTGTATTCCTCTCGTCTTCGACCATATGTCTTAATTTGAACCACAGATTTGATTGGGGTACTGAGTTGATCAATGTTGAGGAGAGTTCGGGAGGTCATGCTTTTGGAAGCTGTGATTGTGAGGGCAAACAAAAGGTCAGTTAGATAAAGAGAGAAGGGAAAACAAAACACAAATTAAAAACACCAATTCGTGCGTCACTATAACCGATGAAAAAAAGATCGGATTAGAAGGGAATAGGAAGAGGCATGGAATCCCTCTATTTTCGCTAATACCATTCACAGTCACGGGGCCAAATGGGATGTCTTCTATGCCTCTTTGTTCATCCAACAATTCGAGTTCAAAACATATATGGCAACTGAAGATCCACTGAAATTTTGACAAACAAAAGATATTTCTTTTAGTTTCGTTGGAGATGTACAAACCAAAATGATTGTATAGCTGCAAATTGCAGTCTCGTGATGTTACTGAGCAGAGAATGCGTCATCACATTGTTGCTCCTCTCTGTTGGTGTCGTTGGAAATTCATTATATTTGAGCTACAGAATTGGAGAGCAGCTGTCATCGTTTTTTTTTTTTTTTTTTTTTTATTATGTGAATAAAATTTGATAAAATTCACAAGGGCCTTGATATAATAACAGATAATTTAATCATTAAACTAGCTAATATATTCTTCATGTCAATTATTTTAATCCTAGAAAGATAGAAGTGGAGGCTATAAAAATTCTCAAGAGTTCTATTTATTTATAAATCTTTCAGTAACTTATCCCTATTTTTTAAATAACAAGTTTTTCTATAGGATAAATAAGCTGTTATATCTACAAATTGATATCTTTCCATATAAGTGATAACATTCTTTTTTTTTAAATAACTTTTGATTTATCTAATTTCAATTTTCCCAAATAAAATAGTATTTTTTTCCAATAAATTTAGATTTTTTTTCGAAAGGCAAATAAGTTAATCCAAACTCTCAACAAAATATACGTCTACAACATCCATACATTTATACACGTTTGAAAAAATTTCATCACATATATGCGTGAAGATGGAAGTTAAAAATACCTTGATGAATGAATCCATAGACTGTAACGTTATCATTTATCACCAATATATCTCGATGAATGAATCTATAGATCGTAAAATTAATGCTCATCTCCAATTAAAAACTATAATGCCACAACTCGAACCAACATGTCTGATAAAGTAAATGAGGATGGTTATGAATGTATTATAAAGCTCTCAATTTTCAGTAGCTCAACCACGTCACTCAAATGACTTTTGGACACCATAGCGTAGCAGTAACCATAAATAATCAATTTACTTTACCTATGTTGATGAATAAATTATAAATTAATTCTTTATCTTTTGAAAAACTAATTAATTAGTTTTTTTCAAAACTAAAAATTTTATTCTTTACGTTTTATTTCTGTTAATAACTTAATTTTTTTATCAATTTTTTTATTAGATTAATGATTTTTATTTAAAATTTTTTTTATATTTTATTTTTATCTTTCATCCATTTTATTTTTCTCTTCTAAAAAAAATTAAAAACAAAAATTACTAATTTAAGTAAAAAATAATAAAAAGATTAAATTATTAACAAAATTAAATAATTAATTTTTGAAAAAAAATTTGATTAATTCGTTTTTCTAAACGGAGAGGTGTTAATTTATAATGTACTCCATGCTAATTCATTACTAATTGCATGTAATTTAAATATAACAAAAACCAAGGGGCATTTTGAAAATAAATAAAATGAAAGAAATGTCCTCGACTCTCTTCAGTCTTCACCTCTTCTTCATCGAAAAAACTCAAGGCAGATTGATAGATTAGATAGATCCGCATAGAACCCTAACCAGGGTTTATCAATTCCTCATTTCCGTAATTAATTCGATTCCGCATTCACTTATCCTCTCACCAAGCAGTTTCAAAATCGTAAGTTAATTTGTACCGTTGAAGTGGAAAACCAAAACAAGATCACATGAAATCCTCAGCGATTAGGGTTTTCTTGATCTGTTTCTTATTAGTCACCCCTTCCATTCATGGAGAGGAATCCGGCACGAATAAATTTCGAGCCCGAGAAGCTACCGATGATGCTCTTGGTTACCCTGAAATGTGAGTTCAATTTCTTTTTCTTTCCAATTTATGAATTCTGCTAAATTGATAGGTCTACTTTTGGTTCATTTGAATTCCTATGTGTGTAGAGATGAGGATGCGTTGTTGAATACACAGTGCCCTAGAAATTTAGAGCTGAGATGGCAAACTGAAGTGAGTTCTAGCGTTTACGCTTCTCCATTGATTGCCGATATCAATAGGTGATAAAACAACTAATCTATTATTTATTTGTTTATTTATTTGCTTGTATGTTAGCTCTGATTAATTTGGATTTTAATATTAATTTGTGTGTATTTGCTTTAGTGATGGAAAACTTGATATCGTGGTTCCTTCTTTTGTTCACTATCTTGAAGTTCTAGAAGGTTCTGATGGAGACAAAATGCCCGGTAAATTTTTGTTTATCTCAGTTACAAGTTCGTCTTGATTTTCATCCCAGGCTATGAATTGGAGTTAACAAGATAAAGTACAAAATTTTGTCAGGTTGGCCTGCATTCCATCAGTCAACGGTGCATGCGAGTCCTCTCCTGTATGATATTGACAAGGATGGCGTGAGGGAGATTGCTTTGGCTACCTACAATGGTGAAGTTCTCTTTTTCAGGTAATTTGCTGTGTTATATTAATGGCTTTAAAAAACTTTTGGCTTAGTGTGCTCGAGCTCACAGATTATTTATGTTTTCTATTTTAGGGTGTCAGGATACATGATGACTGATAAACTGGAAATACCCCGTAGGAGAGTTAAAAAGAATTGGTATGTGGGTCTGGATCCAGATCCTGTGGATCGTTCTCATCCAGATGTTCATGATGAACAACTTGTCTTGGAGGCTGCTGAGAAGAAATCAGTGTCTCGTAAGTTAATGTTGGATTCATAACAATTTGTAAATTTGGTGCTGCTTATTTTGTTTACTTTATCATTAATCTTTTACTGGTCAACTGAGTAAGCTGCCTGTTTTCTTTATCTTTGAAGTTATCCTCAGCTGGTTTGATTTTCTTTTATGTTTATTTTTTTATATATGTCAGAGTCCTTAAGGGATGCCAGTTGGTTTGTGCTTGGAATTTGAACTTGGAGGTCCCAAGTTCAGATCTTTCAAGGGGTGGAGTGTAAGGGTTTTTGGATGTGGGAAGGGCTACTCTCCATGGTGTGGCATAAAATCCCATTGACTCCTTGAAATGTACCTAAAGAAACGAGTCAGTGTAGAATCATGCTTAAAGATTGGTTAAAACTAAGAAAACATATTCCATTTCTTTACAGGCATTTTAGGTAACTAAGAATGATAAATAAGGGGAATCTGAATGGGAATGATGGCTTTAATGTGCGTGGTGTGAAGAACTATGAAGGAGACTAGAGCTGTATGACATCAATAATAAATTAACTGTGTGATGGTGACGACAGCCTTAGGGGTAGTGAACTTGGGGTTGGGTGTGGGAATGGATGTTATGAATGTATTGTAGTGAATAGTGATGCTGATACAGTGTTAGCCTTAGTTTTAAAACCTGCATCCTTTCAGTGCTTATAAAAGATGGAAGAATATCTTTTCCTTTCTTCTCTAGTTCTCATACCCATTTTACTTTTGATTGTCTAGCACCAGGGATGGGAATGAATGAGCTTCTTTCCCATCCTTTCTCATTGCTAGTCTTTATTCCAAGTTGATAAATGGGCTCCCTTCGGGATTACTGTACTGAAGATGTTGAAATCATAACTCTATTAATTATTTTCTTCGTAATGTGGGAAGGCAAAGCAAAAACTTGTGGATGGTAATTCGAATTGCATCATTCAATCTAGTCTTAATGTAAGCATGGAAGGAACTAGAAAACACCAAAATGTGGCTGATGATCCCAAATTTCTTCAATGGTTTTCTGAACCTTCAATTGGTTCCTTGTACACATTTAGGTCTATATGCATATCTACCCATATTCCTGCAAATTTTTATTTGAGCTTGGTCCTGGATTACAAGCAGAATATTAATTTTTCTTTTCCAAGGAAATTTTAACATCTGTATGATAGCATGAACCTGTCCAGGTGTATTTGAGCTTGTCCTGGCAATTTTATTATAGAAAATTCAGGAATTTTAGGGATTGTTGGTAAATGTTGGCTGTTATTAATTTGCAGACACAACTGGAAGTGCACATCAAAATACACCTGAAACAGACCCTTCGATTTCTACATCAACAGAAAATAGCCATCCGGCAATTGCATCCATTGAGACTGAAAAGAAAATGAACGACAATCAAACAGAAACAATTATCAAACTGCCCTTGCATGTGGATAATTCTTCTCTAGGTTCTGGGTCAAATGGAACCGATAAAGCTGAGAGTGGAACCAATAATGCACAGAATGGAACCAATACAATAGAGAAGGGAACCAATGATGCACAGAATGGAACCAATACAGTAGAGAAGGGAACCAATAATGCACAGAATGGAACCAATACGGTAGAGAAGGAAACCAATAATGCACAGAATGGAACAAACACTGGGAGAAGGCTTCTCGAAGATGACAATTCAAAGGGTTCACAGGAAGGTGGCTCAGAATCTAAAGAGAATGACCATGAAAATGATCATGTAGCAACTGTTGAAAATGATGAAGGGCTAGAAGCTGATGCTGATTCATCTTTTGAGTTATTCCGTGATAGTGATGAATTAGCTGATGAGTATAGTTATGACTATGATGATTATGTTGATGAATCCATGTGGGGAGATGAAGAATGGACAGAAGAGAAACATGAGAAATTGGAGGATTATGTGAATATTGACTCACATATCTTGTGCACTCCTGTGAGTCCAAAATTTAATAGCTGTAATGCATTGCAATATATGAATTTTTGTTCACAGATGAAAGTAAGATGCAGTTATGGCACTCAGATGACATTTTTCTCTCTTGTTTTCATCAGGTGATAGCTGACATTGACAATGATGGAGTTGCTGAAATGATCGTTGCAGTTTCATATTTCTTTGATAGCGAGTGAGTTATCTTTATGGCGTCACAACTTCGTATATTTCCTTATTCCCTATTCTTATATATTGAAAATCAGATATTAATTGCGTGCTGATTTTTAAAAATTTAGCAATCTCATTGTATATTGGAACAGTGGCAATCCTATGACCTACATTCAATGAAATAATGTTAATCTTCAGTCAATGAAGTCCATGCAATTGGTTTTATTTGATTGACAGGTATTATGACAATCCAGAGCATTTGAAAGACCTTGGTGATATTGATGTTGGGAAATACGTTGCCAGTTCTATTGTTGTTTTCAACCTCAATACAAAGCAAGTTAAGTGGACACGAGAACTGGATTTAAGTACGAATAATGCAAACTTCCGTGCGTATATATACTCTTCGCCTTCAGTGGTTGATTTGGATGGTGATGGGAATTTGGACATTCTTGTTGGGACTTCATTTGGCTTGTTTTATGTCCTGGATCATCATGGTAAACTCGAGTTTGCATCCTGCATTTTCTTTATCATTTCCTCTTTGTGATATCTCATCCTTTCTCCTACTAAATGAGCTCTCATTGATTCTTTATTTTTATCTTTCAGCTTTATCAGTTATGTTATTATTTTCATGTGATCTTTTTCTGTTCTAAATGCGACACAGGGATTGACATCCAAACTTTCATATGATGTTTTTACTCTGGAATAGCTTCTGTAGCTCTCTTAGCTTAGGCATTTTATTGTCATCTTTGCTTCTTGTTTTTTTTTTGGTTGCTAGTGGAAGTTTGGTTGTTCGGCTGATACATTCTTTTACCTATCACCACATGGATCGATTTGTTATTATTTTTTCTGTGTTAGAGTGTTCTGAGAGAATTCAAAGTGCTTTGAAAGACGAACAGGATAAAACTGTCTTATCAACACAGTATTTACTCTGGAATGTAAATGCATGCAATCTAAAGATTAATCTGTGCAATATCTAAAGAAATATTATGTTTTTAGAGTGATATGAAAAGTAAGTTTCTGATGTATTTGCTTTTGAGCTTCATGCTGTATAATCTATTCAAAATCAAAATCATGTTTATGCAGAAATCTCTGAGTATTTTCTTCTATTTTAACTGCTTATCAAGTGTGGTGTTCCAATTCTCTGAATGAAGTTCGAAGCTAAACTTCATCTTTTTTTATTCAGGAAATATTAGGGAAAAATTCCCTCTTGAAATGGCTGAAATTCAAGGTGCTGTAGTTGCAGCTGACATTAATGATGATGGAAAAATTGAACTGGTGACCACTGATGTACATGGAAATGTTGCTGCATGGACATCACAAGGAAAAGAAATTTGGGAAAGGCACCTTAAGAGTCTTATTTCCCAGGTCAGTTGGATCTCAATTTGTTACTTTTTTCTTGATATGATGACTTCTGTGTGAATTAAGGTATGATCTCCTTCTATACGTGGTATCTGCTAACTGCATTTCATAGTTAATATTGGTCTACTGGTGGTTCAATTGTAAGATTTAGCTATGGGTGCTTCTTTGCCTGATCAAGAAGTGGTCTTGCTTGTTCCAGATTTAGATTCTTGCAAAATCTGACCACAGTAGGTTCTTTGTTTCACATATTGCCTGTAAAGAAAAGCATAGAAGCACCAAAGAAATTGTTATTGTGTTATGGTTGCAACTGTGCAAAAGCATGGGTCATGGTGCTTTATTACTTTAGGTAGAGGATGCCAGATTCGAGAGTAATAGAAACTTCATTCCTTATCTTGTAGACCTAAGTCATGCTTGTACAGGAATTTGTCATTCTTATATCAATGTTTAGAAACAAACCTCAGTGCAATACTTTTGTTTGTGGATGGCATTGAGATCATACTCTTTGTTTTTACAATGCTTTGAATGTAAAACTACAAACTGAAGCTCAACTTGTTTACAATCTTCATTTAAATGAAATTTTAACAAAAAAAGTGCCCAAGTGTTTGATGATAGAGTGATCTGACATAGACTGCAACATTCCTCAGGGTCCAACTATAGGCGATGTTGATGGGGATGGTCGTACTGATGTTGTAGTTCCTACATTATCAGGGAACATATATGTTCTTAGTGGCAGGGATGGTTCTAGTGTTCGGCCTTACCCATACAGAACTCATGGGAGAGTCATGAATCAAGTTCTTCTTGTTGACTTTAGTAAACGTGGAGAGAAGAAAAGCAAGGGACTCACTCTTGTTACAACATCATTTGATGGTTATCTGTACCTTATAGACGGACCGACTTCTTGTGCTGATGTTGTTGATATTGGCGAAACTTCGTAAGATATTCTTGTATCCATGAAATTTTAACTCTTCGATTTATTTCTTGCACTGTGTGATTTTATCCAAATCATGGATCTCGTTGCTTCAGATATAGCATGGTCTTGGCAGACAATGTTGATGGTGGTGATGATCTTGATCTCATAGTTTCAACCATGAATGGAAATGTCTTTTGCTTTTCAACTCCTGTTCCACATCATCCCCTGAAGGCAGGATAGTTGTGAACCCCATATTTGTGGCAATTTCTTGTATGCTCTTGCATCTTTCAAGTATTAAAGCATATTGTGCAATTCTCAGGCTTGGAGATCTTCTAATCAAGGAAGAAACAATGTAGCAAACCGATACAACCGCGAAGGGGTGTATGTTACACATTCATCAAGAAGTTTCCGTGATGAGGAGGGGAAGAGCTTCTGGGTGGAATTTGAGATTGTAGACAAGTATAGATACCCTTCTGGGTCCCAAGCGCCTTATAATATCACTGTAAGTTTCTCCCTGTACATTTAAATTATGGTTTTCAAAAGCAATCCAAAAAATACCTTATAATTCTAATTTTCATTTGGAACAACACAGACAACCCTGTTAGTTCCTGGCAATTATCAAGGGGAGAGACGGATAACGCAAAGTCAAATCTTTGATCGTCCGGGAAAGTATCGGACAAAACTTCCAACAGTTGGAGTGAGGACTACTGGAACTGTTTCGGTGGAGATGGTTGATAAGAACGGGCTGTATTTCTCGGATGACTTCTCCCTTACATTCCACATGCATTACTATAAACTTCTCAAGTGGCTCCTTGTCCTTCCAATGCTTGGGATGTTTGGTGTGCTTGTCATCCTTCGTCCACAAGAAGCCATGCCCTTACCATCATTTTCAAGGAACACTGACTTGTGATAATCATATTCCACCCAGTACCCGTTGTGTGCCAACTTGACCAAAGTGAGATGATATTTTCAGCCGAACAAAGGCTAGAAACTAACGGTGGCCGAGATAAAAATTTCAAGACCATGAGAAAAGCATTTGGCAGCTGATGTCACAGATTTTTGGCTATGTTGAATATCAAGGGAAAGTTGAGTTTTGGGCTGTATAATGTTGGAACCTGTAACATACTTGAATTGAGTAGGTGGATTGAATTTCTTATACCAAAACCTGGAGAACGAACAAAAATGTTGTCTCCAAAATCAGATATAAGTTGTGAAGAGTCAAGTCACAATCCTCGAGGCAATATGTTAATTAGCATTTGAAGCCACAGCCTTCAGCAATTGCTTGGCCTTTTATTTCGTATTGGGTAATTTCATTACATTCCCACTGGCTCTGTTTACGTTGATAACGCTTTTTTTTTTTTTTTTTACCCCGAATAGTAAAGAAAATCAATTGCAAGGCAAGCCCTTCACATGAGGTGCTGCTGCACCTGTTTGCTTAATGAATGATTTTATCTCTAATTTTGCTCACATAATGAAGTGTTGCACCTAATGTTTGTCTGCCCTGCCAATAATCCCCAATATAAAAGGATGTGGGTTAAGAAAATATTGACTAAGCTGGATTAGCTAAACAGGCAGTGAAGAAGAGGATTAATTTGGGCAACCAACAAAAACAATGGAGGTTGATAAAAGAGATACCTAACAGCGGGTCCCGAATTCAAGACATTCAAAACATAGGGCATTCCCTGGCTGAAAGTTGCAGGTTAAAAGTTTTGATTCTGTATTATAGAATTTACACGCAGAGAAAGTAACTCAAGACACATGTTTACATGTAGAGGAACAAGAAACAGTCAAAAGTCAGCAAGAGCGTGAAGGAGATTTTCCATGCGTGATTATTTCACTGGTAAAACAGAAAAGTGCTTACAACATGATCAATATCCCTGCAAAACAGGCCTCTTTCCTAGCCTCTTGATCTCTCTATCCATCTGACCGGTGAGCATCAATCCAAACATCTTGAAATCACATAGAAAAGACCAAACGGGATGCCCAAATGTTGCAGGAACATTCCTTTCCACAAAGAAATGGCTGTACCAAGCGAATCCATACCCAACGGATGGTACAAAGAACAGAAACCACCAGTTGAAAACAACAGAGTACAGCAATAACAGTATACTTGCAAGTGTGCCCACAAAATGCCAACGTCTTGTCCATGGTTTTGAATGCTGAGTCACATAGAAAGACCAAAACTCTTCTAAGCTCCTGAAATTCATAATCTTCAAGAAGCAACAAAATAAAGAGAACCCAGTTCAAGAATCTTGATTGCTTTGACTTGTAGCTCAACTTCTTGATTGGTAGACGATCTTTCAAATTCAATTACGAAATAGAGAAAAAAAATTCTATCTGGGCTTGGTGTGGCTAGCAAGAGTCTGATGGGGATGCGATCCTTGTGACGGGGTGGCTAAAGGGTATAGACTTCAAAGTTGAGAAAATAATCGGAGGCAGAAAGCAAGAGATTCTTTTTGGCTGGCGTTGACTGTAAATTTGAGCAGGAATGTTTTCAGGACGGGATTTTGGTGGTGTCTTTGAACTTCCCACCTAGAGTAAGAAAGTCGCTTTTTTTGATGTAATTAGGATCCAACAGCCAATAAACAGAAGTCGAGTGGTTTGAGTTTGAAGGGTGAATGGTTGCTGTCTCATTCTATTAGTGGAGAAATCAAAGTAAGTTTGGTATCCATTTGGGAAAATATGTGATGGAGAAAATTGGGATTGACGATAACCAACCAAGATATACGCCAAAAAAATTCTGCTTTTTACCAAAGGAAAAATTATTAAATTTAGTCATCATTTAAATTAGATAAATCATTCTACTTTTTTTTGAAGAAATTAAATCTATAAGATAAATTCCCTTAAAGAAAAAGGGAGAGATTATTCTGCTTGCTGCAGTATGCGATTGGTGGTGTGTTATTGCAAAAAATATAACCCTTCTAATCAATCATCCAAACGATAAATTTTCCATTTACTGAGGGCGTGATATTCTATATTGACATGTTTTTAAGCTTGGATTGATTAATGGGTAGTTAATTTCGGAGTTGTCACTGTAGAATGACCGGCCTTGTAAAACACATGCAGGCCAAACATGAGCTAGCTTCAAAGATGAGAAGTTGGGAGGACTGATAAAATGTAATTGAGGTATCTAATGAATAATTTCCTTTGTTCTCAGCTAGAAATAGAAACAATCATATTTTACCAGATGCGGTTAAAGAAAAGTCTCAATTAGGGTCATATTTTACTAGATGCAGTTAAAAACAAAAAGTCTCAATTACACAATAATCAATATCATGAACTTTGGTGGGGTTTTTTTTTTTTTTTTTTTCCCCTAAAATCAATCATTATGAAATTTATCCAGTCTTATTTCAATGTTGCTGGGAGGCCTTCATGGTACTGAAAAAATCAAGTTTGCTGTGCATAGCAGATTTTGAAATCAAAATTGAACATTTGATTCTCCAATATATTATACAAAAGATGATTTATGTTGTTTGACACCAACTTAGTGTCACAGTTTGATGTTGTGTACACCAATTTCTTTTACAAGTTCACTCTAATGGATATATAGAACAATACAAGTGAAAACCACTAAAGAATAAAAGGAATGCATAAATGCACGTAGTAAACAGACTATACACCACCAATTCCCTCCATTCTAAACATTTCATGCCTAAATTGATTTGACTTGAAATTTTAACCTACATCAACTCATATTCTTCGCCCCTTTCCATAGTTTTCCTTCATATATATAATTCCTAGTTCTAGACCCGAGCTGTTTCCAGAATAGTGGAAACTTCATTTACACTTGAGTCTAGTCTAGAAAACTCGCTCTCCGGTAGCATACAAGTTCCAAAAGATGGCTGTAACGAAATAAAGCCCTGCAGTGACTGTGAGGAATGCCTGAAAAGATCCTAACCACTGAACAAAATAACCTGTTCCAATCGTGCTGATTATTGCTGCTAATGTCCCAGCTGAATTTGCAATTCCTGTATGGCAGGTCATTCAATTTGAGAACGTCATTACGTTTGGTGACACAAGTTTTAAGTATACTTATCGAAATGAATATTGATTATTTAGTTGAAAACATCGGCAGGAAGCCCAGAACTTACCATGGAGAAATCCAGCATACTGTGGTGCGATATCCTGATTAAGAAGAAAATAATAAACGGAAATGAGCACAACTTGGAGGTGATCCAACTAGCTGAAGAAGCAGTGAGTGTACTTGTAGAGCTAATACAGAATGGTCGAAACTTACGTGCATGTTGAGAAGAAATCCAGCTTGGCTGAAAGAGCTCAAGCTCAGTGCTATCGTCATTAGTACAGCTGCATCCACTGGTGTCTTGGCATAATTTAAGCAGAGCAATGAGACACCAGGTCCAATAAATCCAATTGTCTGCGCATTTAACAAATAATCAGCCTAGTAATCCTAAGAGAAAAAAAGGTATCTGCCTCGGCCGTATCAAGTGAATTAAAATTTTACTTCAAAACCAATGTATGAGGTTTGAGCTTCTACAGTTAGGCCATCGTGAAAACATGTTTATGACAATGGAGGTCAACTGATACTGCAATTAATGCAATTTATTCCACTTCCTATAGTTTCTCTTTTTCCTTTTTGTTTCCTGGTTATTTTCCTATAAAAAGATCACACAAGCATCACAGGCCAAGCATCTTAGGCACACATTACAGTCTGGCAGATTACCTGCATGATCTTTCGGACTATTGTCAAAGAGTAGCCAGCCTTAATCAATGAATCGGATAATGCTCCTGCAACATAACCAGAAAATGCCATGGTTGCCCATGGAACAGCGCTAAACCAAGCCGCTTGCTTCAAGTTCACATTAAATACCTTCATTCATAAGAAAAAAATGTAAACTGGGATAAGTTTGGTGATTCAATAGCATATGATCCATAGAAACTCACTTATGCACAAACAGACTGGCGCACAGCTTTTCACTATGATCCTTAAAACATTATTAACATAAAAAGATAGAAGAAATAATAACTTACAGTATTGAAATATATAGGCATCCAGGAGAGAAGAACAAAATATCCCTGTAATTTTGAGCATGTAAAAGAGTGTTAACAAAAAACTTAAAAGCATTTTAACAAAGTGAAGAAATAAACTAATGGCATATAACTTACCCAATTGTTCGTTACATTAGCAAAAATAATAGCCCACGATGGAGCTTTAGATAATAGGAGACGTAGTGGTGGAAGCTGGCCGTTGTTTGCTGGAGAATCGGTTTTACCAGCTTGGATTGACCTCAACTCTGATTTGCTAACAAAAGGACTATCTTTTGGATCACTGGTGACCCCATTTGCCCATCTTGTGAGCCATAGTAGCCCAAGAGACGAGAAGAGAATAAAAGGGCCAGAAATCCCAATTGTTGACAGCATAATTGGAGTTAACAACAAGCCTACGACATTGCCAAGATGAAATCCAGCCATTGAAATTCCAACTGCACTTGCTCGTTCATGGCTTGGAAACCACCTAATCAAAGATATACAAGGATATAGTTAAGAATTACAGATATTATTTGAATGTAACACATACATGCAACTCGCAGGTTACAAACTAGTATGGCATTACCTTGATGCAAGGGTGCTCATGCAAGGCAAAGCAACACCCTCGGCAAGTCCGAAAAATGCTCGAGCAGCCAAGAGGGCGACGGTGGAGTGGTTAGCAGCCCATGGAGTGAGTAGGGTGGCCAAAGACCACAAGGCCACACCCCATGCCATCACTCTTTTTCCTCCATATTTGTCCACCAAAGCTCCTCCTATGACTGATGAGAATATGTATCCCCATAGAAAGGATGACTTCAAGAAATAATCAACAAAAGTTACATTTAATTAGCCTTCACTCATAACCGCAATCAATTAGTAAAAGAACATCATGAAATTTATACTCAAATTAAGACTTAATAACAATCACAAACTTTTTCGGTCACGTAATCAGATAAATTAATTTCAACATTGAACCAACTATCAGGAAAAAAATGAAATTTCATACACAATAGACAACCTGGTTTAGTAGGCGCATGCCATGCGACACTAAAGTTGTTTTTCCTTATTTTATTTTTTATTTCGGTTCTATCAGGATATATCGGCGGATCACCATCCACGAATTGAAATTAAGTAATCTATCCACATTCAAACAAGTTTATATAGTATAATTTTGTTATTTTTTATTTTCATAAATATATTTTTTATTTTCAAGATTTGAACTTTAGATAATAAGTCCATCCCACCTACCCCCTGACTATGCCTCCAAAATTTCCTTTCCTTTTTTTGTTTTTTTTTTTCTTGGGCGTGGGGGATGTTATTCAACAACCCCGTAATAGACTAATAGCGACTTGTTGGGAGTCACGAATGACGAGATGAATTTTCTATAGTCAGGTTATCGGCCCGTCTGAGTCACGCCTATTTTGGCGTCTAACAATCCACACTTTGCCGTAAAGAACTGCAGGAAAGGTTGGTGAAGTGCTTACATCTGGTCCAAGCCATGCTCGGTAGTTGGGTCCCCAGTCCCCAGTCCCCAACCAGAACTAGTTACAGCCTTACCTTGGATCTACTTTTAGTTTAATGGGACCATGTGGGTATGGCTCGACCCTTCATGGGCACAATTTCTGCACCGCACCCTGTTTAATGCTTCCAGCCCCAATAACATGCTGTGCATGCCCGTGCCTTGTTTTTTTTTTTTTTAGCTTTTTCATGACCTTCTTCATTCTACCTTCTGCTTTTTAAAACGATAAAAAAGTATTTTTGTTCTTGGGGAAATAGCATAATATATTTCTTTTTTTTTTTTTTTTTTTTACCTTAGAGGAAACTCATTCACATTGATCCACCTTCCAATCGTATCCAACAATATACAGAAAGAAGCAATATATCCACCATAAGAGGAAATCGTTGACTCTAGAAATTATCAGGGTAATTAGATATGCATGCCTCTTATAAACTTCTATATTTGGAATAAGAAGAAGAAAAAGAACATGATTATCATCAAATTGAAAACCTTTTTTTTTAAATAAATAAATAAATAAAAGAAAGTGGGTTGCTTGCTGCAAATACAATGATTATGATTTAGTATTTTTTTTCTTTTTCAAAGGACGGCACCTTTAAAACCCCCTTTTTTTTTTAAAAAAAAAAAAGTTGACCAAAAAATAAATAAAAGAATGTGTAATTGACAGGATAATTAGACTAGTTCAAACTTCGGCCCTCGAATCAGTGTCGAAAACCCATAAATTTATCGATAAAATAAAATAAAATAAAACAAAGGGAAAGCAAGAACGACTTGTCAGATAGAAAGAAGGAAAGAAGAAGGTAGATTTGTATGTAGATAGTTGCAGTTACCTGGACTATGCCCAAGAAAGAACTGGACCAGCCAAATTTGGAAGCAAGTGGAACCACAGCAACAGACATGACAACACGATCAGCATTACACAAGCACATAACACATGCCACTAAAGCCACAACCTTGAACCTCTCAGGAATGTCCAATATTTTAGTACTTGTATCTGCTGTTGCTGCTGCCTCTCTTCCTCTCCCACCTCCCATTAGCATTCCTCTCTCTATACCCTCTGCCGTGCACCTCACCATAACTGACCCTGACCCTCCTCTTCGCTTCAATATCTTCTCCTTCGATTGCTCTCTTTCGGCCCATTGGATAGGCTCTGATAGGATACTAGGCTCGAATCTCAACTGGGTTTTTCTTAAATGAATCAAACTTGATTTAGAGTTCAAGGAAGAGTAGGTGTTAGGTGAGGAAGAATGTACTAGCATAGATTTAGCCGCCATGAGAGATTTGAGAGGGATAGAGAGATGGATGTAGGATGGCATCAAGGAGTTGCCTTTATTATACACATATGTATGGACATTTTATAAAGCTCTTTCAAAGATAACTTTTATATATTTGCCTAAAGTTTAGGTATTTCTAGGAAGGTTGAATCCTACTGGCCAAACCTAAGGGAGGTTTGGTATTTAAAAAAAAAAAAAAAAAAACAGAGAAAGTTGTTGAGTTTTGGGGGTTGTTGAGAAAGATTAGGCCAAAGAATTAGTCTATATCTCACTCTTTAATCTCTATAATAACATAACTTTGATGAGGGATATTTTATTCTAGGTTCAGTTTAGGGTTGTCTATGAATAGTATATTCTGTAATTTTTTTTTAAAAATTTTAAAGATTAAAATTTATTTATTAATGAGAAATATCGATATGTTATAGATTGTCTCTTTTAACTGTTGGCATATATTAAAACTACTATTAATTATTATGTTACATGAATATTTTTATTCATACTTTTTAAACAGTTGTTTATCTTGTTGTTTATTTTTTTAAATAATATTAATTGTTATGTTATATGAATATTTTTTAATTCATATTTTTTAAATATATCATTATTTAATACAAGTAAACACATTATTGTTTAATTCGAGGTATTTTCTTAAAAAATATATTATTTAAAATTTTGATTAAACAACTATTTTGAAATCGATATAAATAAAAAAAATAATTTTTAAGACAAAGGAATATAATTCAAGATCTGCAAAATCTTCTGATGGCAAAAGGTTTAGGGTTGTCCATGGCACAAGATACTCTTACGTGGCTACGCGTGTGGCCGTTTCCTATGATCACCTACCTCCGCTTGAAGCGGATTAAGTATAAACTCTATAAACTCTTCTTACTTTCTCACATTTTGTTGTTGTACCAAATGAATGAATCAAAGAAATTGTCGCTTGAAATTGTCCTTGGTTTGTTTTTTAATCACACGAATCTCTCATTCGTTCCTGGATAACAGTTAAAACTCTAATTTATGCACATCTTGGCGAGCATAAAAAAGAAAACAAAAATTTAATTCAACAAAATAAAATATAATAAATTGTATTCAATTGAGTATTGAATAAAATTTATAAAAATAAAAAATAAAAAGAGCCTATCTAGTAGTGTAGAAATTATTAGAAGGTAAAGTTTAGATATGTGAATGCCATATCATTAACAAAATAATTATGTAATTAGTTAGACAATCAAAGGTTAGTTAGGCAATTAGAAGGTAGAAAACTTCAATTTTTCTTCTTGTAATATAAATAGGGCTAGCTACTATTTCTCTCTACAATTTTTGCAAAGCTGTAAATGTATAACCTCTATAATCAAGTTTTTGATTGAAATAAAAGAAGTAGCCAATTTTGCTTTCTTTCATGGTATCGAGCCTGGTTCAAATTAAGTTTTGCTTTTTTTTTTTCTTTTATTCAAGCAATTATTCTTGTTTCTCAAAAAAATCTAGCGCATCAATGGCGTCTTTTTTTTTTTTTCCCTCCATCGAAGATCCTCGATCGTCTTTCTATCTTCATCATATTGATAATCATAAGTATCGTGATTGTATCTCCTAAGCTTATTTTAAGCAATTATGCTACCCGAAGTCGCTCTTTCTTGCTTGCTTTGTCAATTTGCAAATAAGATGGGTTTATATCGATGGATCAATTGCTACTCTAGCTACGAGATGATATTCTATTTGGACCATGGTTCGGGTGCAATAATCTCATTATCTTGTGGCTTCTTAGGTCAATTTTACCTCCAATTGCTATTACTATTTTCTATATGGATTCAGCAGTAGAAATCTAAAAAGTGCTAAAGAAACGTTTCTCATAAGTAGACGATTCTAAGGTATGCAACTTACGGCATACATTGAGTACACTTAATTAGGAAAATCACGAGCATTGATGAGTATTTCACCGAGTTGAATTCGGTATGAGAGAAATTAAGAAACTATAGACCACTTGTCACACTTGTGAATGTAGCAAGTGTAGTGTTGATTGCTTAAAGGAATACATAAATTTGCATCAAAAGGATTGTGTTTTCCGATTTTTGAATGGCTTAAATGAGTCTTATGTTGCGTTATGGTTTCATGTGATCATGATGAAGCCATTCTCCTCTTTTGATGAAGTATAAAATTTGGTTATTAGAGAGGAATCTCGGAAAGATATTAATTGTCGGTAGCCTTTTATAGAATCCTCAACAATGATAGCTAGAGGTGTTTTTCAAAATAAGCTTAGGAATGCTTTTATGTGCACACATCGTGGAAAATTAGGTCACACCAAGGATAGGTGTTTTTGATTGATTGGTTTTCTAGACAATCCAAGTGTCTGCTAGAGGAAGAGCTACTCCATCCTCACTTAATCTTGGTTTTGCTAGAAGGAAAACTACTTTCTTAAGAATTAATTACGTACTTAAATAGACAAATGAAGGCATTTCTCCATCCACTAACAAAGCGAGATAATCGGTATAATTCTTCTTTGGATAATGCTACTTGCGAAACAAAAACACATGCATGTTCTCTTAACGTCATTTCGTTGGCTATTCTTAATGAGCAAAATGCATCATCTAAGGTTTTTTTTTCAATCCTTCTAACAATACAGGTATTAAGTCCTTGCATCATTGCTTGTATACAATTACCACAATCTTTAACACACTTTATGAATAATGCATCCTAGATTATAGATACGGGAGCTTCGGATCATATAGCATGTAGCTTAAATTCCTTTACTTTTTGTTCATACCATTTATCAAACCTTTGTGATAATGCTAGATGGATCTAAAGTTCTTGCTACACATTCCGGTACTATGTTTTTGTCTCCTAAATTAGTTTTATATAATGTTTTGTTTGTTTCTTTATTCAAGTTTAACCTCATATTTGTCGGTCAACTTACACGTACCAAGAAAATTGTTGTTAATTTTAATGGTGATTCTTGTTTTACTCGGAAAGTTCCTTCATGGATAGTGATTAAACTTGCTAAGGCTAGGAGAGGTCTTTACTTGCTATAAAACTCCACTACTCTTCTTCAGTCATTATCACATGATAGTCGGATTTTATATTCTAGTCATTCTTTTGTTTTTGCGAATAATGTTAGTCCCATGCTTGATGTAAGAGATTGATTTGATCTCCGACATTTTAGGTTAGGGCATTTTTCTTCGACAAACTAAAAGTCATTCATCAAATTTGTAATGAAGTTCATTTTGTGTTAAAATCAAATAAAGTTCTATGTATTACTTGTCCTACGGCTAAGCATAAATGCCTAGCATTTCTTGTTCATATACAAACTATTACAATCCCATTTTAATTGATTAATGTCGATATATGCGATCTTTATTCATAATTTTCCCATGGCAAATTTCACTATTTTCTAACTATAGTTGATGATTTTACTCGAATGGCTTAGGTTTTCTTGATGAAAAGCAATCGGATGTTAGTTCCATTATCCTTAGCTTCTTTAATCTCATTCACACTTAGTTTGGTTTTGATGTTAAACAAATTCGATCGGATACTAGTATAGACATTAGGTTACCTCTATTCTATTATGAAAAAAGAGGTTTTACATCAATTGTCTTGTGTGGAAACTCCTTAACAAAATTGTATTGTTGAGAGGAAACACCAATATTTACTTACTACTGCTAGGGCTTTACTTTTTCAATCTCATTTATCTATTTTTTTTGGGAGATGCAAAATAGAACATGAGCTTTTATTCAACAAGCCTCCTTCTTATAACCATTTAAAAGTTTTTGGTTGTCTTTGTTTTGCTTTTACACTTACTCTTGGTAGGAAAAAAGTTGACCCTAGATCTAAAAAATGCATATTCATTGGTTATCCTAATCGTTTGAAGGCTTATAAGTCTGTATGATCTAGCTTTTAATTCTGTTTTTATGTCCAGAGATGTTGTTTTTCATGAGTATGTCTTTCCTTTTTCTTTTAAGCCCGATTCTTTTATACCATATGAACTTCACCTTTTCTCTAATAGTCCTACTCATACATCGAGATAACTCTCCAAGTTCATATATTTTAGAACATCTAATTTCCGTTCTTTTTACGACTACCTTTCGAAGAATCGGTTTCTTCTTCTAGTTTTGTTCTCCATAATGTTCTTTCGATGTGCATGACTTCACATCACTTAATATACCTTCTTTTAAACCACTTATGTAACACCCCAACCTAGGACCTAAAACATTGAGAATATTACCGTCGTTAACCTATATTTGAGGTGCAATGAATACAAGCTAACAAGGCACTATGACTTAATCTTAATGTTTAACATGTAAACTATGCTAAAAAAACCTAAGATTGACAAGGTAGGTCTATACTTTAGCTAAAAAGGCGTTATAAATTTTTCATGTTTTATTCTTTTATTTACATTCTTTTGATTGGAATTACTTGGATTCGTGACAATTGATTGCCTCGATTTCTTTATTCATTAATTTATGTAAATTCATTTAGTTATAATCCATTACATTATAATTATTATATTACTTATTCCTTTCCTTATTTATCATCCTTTTTTATTTGATGTGCGTTTAATCATATTTCCTTAATGTTCTAAGGATAGTAACATGCATTGGATAATTTAAAGTAACCACACTACTATAACTACACTATCATTATGCTATTAGTGTTTTGGTTACACACAAATTACTTGTTTACATAGACAATCAATTTATCGCCAACTACTACAAAATTGGCTTATTGACTAACTACATAATTTTAAAGATACTCAATTTACTTGTTCATTGCTTTTATCATAACATAAAATAGACTAACTAACCTTAACATATATAAGACAATAGCTAGTACCGAAATAGAATGGTAAGTAGCAGATCCACTCGAAAGTCGAACCCTTACCCAAGGTATATATGTCTAATGCACCCCTCGAAAATCAGCTCGATGGAGAAATAAGCCATTGTATATTAATTATCTACATCATAAGGAACTAAGTGAGTGATAGCCCGGTTAGTTAACTTATGCATGACATGTAT